CTTCTACTCTGCACCCTGGCCTCTAGTGTAGTGCTAACATGTTTTCTTTCTTACATGCTTTAAAATTTTTCAATACAACTGAAGTTCACTTAAATACTGAACACAGTATGTTTTGTTTTCCATCATATGATCTAAAGATTTTCTGATATATTTATCAATACTACAACTAATTGATTCTAGAAGTTTACACAAATTAATAACCATCAAACAACTGTTTAACAATGGGACAGTATCACCCCAAGAAAACTAATGACAGAAAATTGAGATATTGGAGAAATAGTAAAATGCTACCCTCACAGAAAGTAATGTTCTATCTTTTGAAATGTTGTCAGGTTTTGTATAATGTGCTTTTTTGAAGAAGAAGAAATTTTTGCTATAGGGAGCGTGTGCCCGCCAGAAAGAGAGAGACAAAAAGAGAGAAATCACCCCTCAGAGGAGATGGCCATGACGTAATCCCTTCTCCTCCATTCTCTCTTGGGATTTTGGGCATGCTCTCATATGTGCCAGGAGTAAAGTTAAGCCACCAGGTCCAGGACTTGAACCACAGCCAGCTACATGGGAGTCCAACGACATAGCCATTACACCAAATGCTGTTCCCCATCTAATGTATTTTTAAAGATTTACTTTAAAACTTATAAAAAGTATATGGTCAAATAAATCAAAATACATTTTAAAAATAAGTATATAGCCTAGTTCAGTTTCCTAGAATTCTGGAATAGTAGCAAATTCTTAAAAATAAAATAATAATCTGGACCTTCAAACAGCAATACATGTTGCTATATTGGATATTAGAAAAAATTCTTTATTTTCCAGAAACAAAACAAATTCTTGATCATAATCCTATGGTAAGGCCTATGAGCAGTACATGAAAAATAATCAGATTCCTAGACCAAAAAGGCAACAAACTTTAAGAGTAATACAATATACTGTTAAGGTTAATATTTCGATTTTATATTTTCCATAATTTTATTGAAGGATCCTGAAATAGATATATGATACCAAATATTTCCTCAAAAATATTACAAATAATTATTTAAAATATTACATTACATTATAGATAAAGCACATTACTAATGACATTTGAGCACACGATAAGATGGTATAAGATGTTTGCTGCCTGATTTTTCATCAATATGATTTTCTTTAGAACTATATCTCACAGTAACGAATGTCCTAGACAATTCTGTACGTACTTCCAGAATAACCATTGGAGTGAGTTTCAAATGGTCACAACATAATATAAGGTTAAAAGTTGAAGGTGAATATGTTTATATCCTTGATTTGTTTTTTATACAGCATATAATGCTCTTAAAAACCATTGTGTATCCTACAAAGATGTGCAATGATATGTAAATCATAAATTACAATAGTGTTTAAGCAGGAAAAACAGGTGACATAAGATTATAACCATGTATCATGGAATTTATTGGTTTGTCCATTATGGAGCATAGATATACAAAATGACAGGCCCAAAAATGTGTGTGTTCCAATAGCAAAAGCAATGGGACAACACCTGGGATGGAAGAAACAGAAACAATAGCAGGAGGTAGGTGCAGGACCGGAACTCATATTCAAAATCTACATGATACATAAGTGTTGTCTAAATAATCAAAACAGAGCAGGAATTTATCTCACGAGAAAATTTAGTGCCTGTAGACATGAGGGTAATTCATATCATTACTCAGAATGTATCATGGTGTGTGCTTTTGTTTATTGGATGAATGCATTTTCATTCCTCAGTGAGGAACAATCACTTTGTTTTCTCATGTGTTCAGCTCAGAAGCACCTCAGTGATTGAGACAAATACCCAGGCAGCTGGCAAGAGAACAGAGAGAGACATAACTATACAGGCCATGCAAATAGGGAAACTACTCTTTCATAATGTGCATACCCCAGTGTGGAAATTTTCATGCCAAATTGGAGGGAAACAAAGCCTTATTAACAACACAATGCCAACGTATTTTCTGTTTAGTCCAACCTTTGAGAAATTTCATGAAAATGTTATCGCTTTACAATTAATAGACCCATGATAGAGAAAAATTAGAATCCCATGGGAGACATTGTTGGGATGTTCTGACTGATCACAAAATTATCAGAAGAATTCTAATAGTCTAAGAAATAATGAGACAGAGGAAAAGAGGACTTGGGGTCAGAAGCAGAGACTCACACACACAGACACATACACACCGAGACATAATGAGAGCGAGAGAGATCATATGCAGTGACAAAAATAAACAAATTTAGTTCCAAATGAATAGCCAACAGCATGTTTCAAGCCCCAGACCCAGTGGCTTGAGAAAGGGGCTTGATATGTGTGCATGTGTGCCTAAAATCTCCAAAAGAGGGAGAAATGGAGTGAAAATTTTTGAGTAACCATTCACCATTGTGGGGGCTTTTTCCCCTCCCTCTCCTTCTCTTACTCTGTATATCCCCAGCAAGCACACATGCCTTCTGGCAAACTAAGAAAAAAGGAAAAATGAATGGGCTAAAAGCTCCACCTACTCTTCCTTACTTGGGCAGGAATTTTGGTGACTGTTGTTGGTAAGCAGCAGTATCTCTTATCTGTCGCTGACTTAACACAGCTTCTTCTATCAGGCTATTCTTCATGTTATACAACTTTGTTGATTTAAGTAATCATCCAAATGGGTTGGGCCTGGTCTGGCATGGTAGTAATGCATTGCACAAGAGACGCTTGATCCTACCTGGTGACGGTGGCTCAAACCCCAGTCTGGTCAGCCTGAGACATGTGAAGCATGTGCACTAGTGCCCAAGATCCAGTGAACAGGAGGACGGGAGGAAAGGGATCAGGACATGACCAGACCTTGTGGAGGGTGATCATCATTCTTTTACTCTACCTTTCTTGTACGTGTACTCTGTCGTGAATTACTATTTTTCAAATTAAAAAAAAAAAAATACTGAGTAGTTATTATGTACTTTTATAAGGATGACTAAGACACATCCCTAATCCTTAAAGAAACAGTCACTCTTTTGTACAAGTGATCCTTCCTAACTCACTGTAACAGAGATAAGCAATTTATTTCCATATATTTTACAAACATACATTACATCCACAGAATATGTTTACATGTACTAAAATATATACATATAAAACTGCATCCATACATGAATTGCTAGTAAGAGTCAAGACAAGAATCACCTCTTCCTGCCCAAATGTGGAGGATGTCTATGTGAGTATGTGTTTACACAGATGTGCACACTGAGTGGGGGTAATCATCAAAGAGGAGAAAGCACCCCTCCCATGAGGAATGGCCATGCTGTAGTCACTTTTCCTCAGTTTCCCTTTCCCTTTAGGATTTTGGGTGCTTATGTACACATGCCTAGCATGTTTTTTAAGAAGCTGGGTCCAGAACTCAAACCACGCACTTAGCCATGTGGCATCCAGTGGCCATTACCACCACACCATGGGTTAGCCCCTGTTTCTCCATTTCTCTCTGGTGAGCACACTTAACCGTGGCAATTTAAAAGAAGGAAAAGCCTAAAGTATATACCTTATTAATATATCAAATGTATAAAAGTCTTATAGATGCCCTCTTAATACATTGGCATGTCATCTACAGATTGTTAATTTAAGGGTTATGGAACCCTGTAAGTAATTCATAACTATAATGAATTCTATTTTATTTTTTTCAGTACAAATTGGTGTGTAGTTTTCTGAAAGTCTTCTTGGAGTAGCTATTCACTTTGCTGCTAATAGCAGAATGGTCTTTTTATGAGAAATAGAGTCTCATTATTTTTCCATTAATATATATATATTTTTGCAAGTAAAACTCATGTCTAGTACTATAGTTTGAATGCCAATACACAATATGGACAGGAGAAAGGTTTCAAAATAGCTTAAAAGAAATCAGTGAAGGAAACAGACAGGTTAGTATGCTTGATGCCAATTTGCTAGGACCTCGGAGGCATAAACCTGCTTCTACCATCTCCGTGACATAGAGAGCATCAGCAGACACTCTCCCGGCCACATGACAGCCCCAACAGTGGAGCGCTCTGTGAGTGCAAAGTGACATCTCCTTCTTTATAGTAACCTCTTCCATTTGATGATATTTGGCACAATAATGATGTGTAGGAGAAAGTCAGCATAAATATTAAATGAATTGGATAGATGTTTATGACATAGAGAAGAAAACAATTACCAGAAACAAACAAACAAACAAAACAAAAATGTGGGATGACAATTAGCTCAGCAGAGGGTTTGTGATGCACAGCAGAAAATTACATGATCTAACTTCACACCTTTAATCCCCTTCTACCTCAGAGATTTCAGAATTCAATCACTGTCACAAAAGTATTTTTTTAAACATCCTTCTAATAGTGAATTGTCAAATCATTTACTCAATTTTTTCTTAAGGGAAAAGTAAATAACCAGCGAGGCACGATTTCCTGAGTGACATGCTACAGACCTAAGATCATTATCAAATCATCACGTTGTCATCTTTAAGTTGATAATGAAAACGGAGTGATTTTAAACTTTGAAACCTGGATTTCCATCTCAATTTATAAAGCTGCAAGTATATGTATTAGTTATACCTGACACAAAAAGGACAGTGAACTTTTAAAAACTGTGCAAATTTTAAGAGTATGATCAGTTTTGCCTTTGAATGAAGGTTTACATTTCCCCTTCTTCTGTCTTCCTTTTGACTCTTCGATCCAAATAGCAAGGAATAAATCATTTGACCCTTTAAAACAGCCACAGAAAAATCTGTGTTATTAGTCTCTGAGAGCCTCTAATAAGTACCAAATTTAAACTAAATATGATTCCTAAGACAGATTTATAAAAATGTGACACATGGCAGCAAGAATATCTCTGTGATGTAAACACATAGTGATGCTTAGTCTTACCAATTGCTGCTCACAGAAGCATGCTCTGCATAGCAGCTTAGACAATAAGCTCCCTTCGAGTTTCACTGTCATGGTTTCAGTTACCATGGATTTTTCTGAAAATTCTAAAAATAATAATAAAAAATTCTGTTTTAAATTTCTGCTTGTATCTGAGTGGCATGGTGAAATCCTGCACTCCCCACTTAGTCCTGCTCTGGAGGTGAGTCATCTTTACGTCTGACATCTCCAGGCTGTTTATGTTATGTCCTTTCACAATTATTGTAATTATTTCACAACCTGCTAGCTAATCAGATCAGAAAAAAATCAAAACTCGTAACATGGACATATAAACCTTACCTTCAATGGGATTATGTCTTTTATTTATTTATTTTTTGGGAGGGGTTTTCACTATAGGGCGTGCGCACTCACCAGACAGACAGAGAGAGACATAGAGATAGAAAGCAAGAAATCACCCCCCAGGGGGGATGGTCATGCCGCAATCCCTTCTCCTCCATTCTCCTCTCGGGATCTTGGGCACACATGCACATGTGCCCGGTGTGAGTTTTAAGCCACCGGGTCCGGGACACGAACCACGGTCGACTACGTGGGAGTCCAGCGACATAGCCACTACGCTAACTGCTGGTTCCCAATGAGATTACGTCTTAATACATCCATCATAAATTAAAAATATGTTAAGATACATTTAATATAGATGTCCTTACTTTACAGTAGGATTATGATGTTTACTGAGTACATGTCGCTTTCACAACATTATGAAATAAAAAGACAAAAATAATCCTTGGGCCAACTGGTGACATCATGGTTAGGAAGACTGGACCCCATATGGCCAATTGCCCAGTTTATCCCAGACTGGCAGCTTGAAAAACATGCCAGGTGCTTATACATGCACAAAATCCCTAGAAGAAAAGAGACTGGGCTGTGCCAACCTCCCCTGGGTGGTGTTTTCTCACTTCCTCATACTTCTTGACTCTGTTTCTCCAGCAAGCACACACTCCTTATTACAAATTAAAAATAAATATATAAATACATAATTTTCTTAATTACTAAAGTAAAATCTTAAATTGTAACATCATCAGTCAAGGGCTACCTCTACAGGGTTCAATACCATTGGTAGTTTCAGACATCCACTGGAGAATCTTAAAAGCTGTCCCTCATGGGTAGAGGGAACTACCGTGAAGTGAAATACTCCATGTACAAACTTCAAGCCACCTTGTATTTGACCTCAGATTGTAATAGCCTTTGTCTTATAAACTTTGAAAATAAAATAAAAACATGTACTTATAGATAAGAAGTCCAGAATTTAAAATTTGGAAGATGTTTAACATCTCAAAGGGAAAATAAAGTATTGCCAAGACATATTAGTAGAACAGATAAAAACATTATCTAACATGAAGCAAAAATTCCTGTACTAAACATTATAATCTCTCTCGGTTTAGGATTATATATAATAGAAGTTGACAGAAATGTTTACACTGCTACCTAGTATGTCAGTCTGCTATAGGGTACAGGCCCTTGCCAGAGAGAGATGACGAGAGAAAGAGAGAAAATGAGAAGGTACCTCCCTCCTTTGCTATAGGATGTGGGCAGAGAGAGGGAAAATAAAAAAAGTACTCCTTTTTTATTTTTTGAGAGGTTTTCGCTATAGGGCACATGCGCTCGCCAGACAGACAGAGAGAGACAGAGAGACAGAAAGCGAGAAATCACCCCCCCAGGGGGGATAGTCACGCCACAATCTGCAATCCCTTCTCCTCTATTCTCCTCTCGGGATCTTGGGAATGCACGCACACACGCCTGGCGTGAGTTTTAAGCCACCGGGTCTGGGACGTGAACCACAGTCGACTACGTGGGAGTCCAGCGACATAGCCATTACACTAACTGCTGGTTCCCAGTACTCCTTTTTTTTCACTTACAAAAATTATTTTTTTTTCTACATAGTATCATGATTTTCCCATAACATAATCTTCAAGGTGTAATTCTTACCCAGTGGAAGGGATATGCAAGCTTTTTATGTATTTTTGCATTTTTAAAGAGGCTTTAGCCTTAGAGCAGGTGCACTCACCAGAAAGAGAGAGACAGAGAGAGAGAGAGCTAGAAAGAGAGAGAGAGAGAGAGGGAGGGAGGGAGGGAGGGAGGGAAACAGAGAAATCACTTTCTGCAGGATGGTCACATAACAATCTCTTCTCCATTCTCATCCTGGGATCTTAGACATGCATGTGCACTTACTCAGCATGATATTCACCTGTTCTGGGACTCAAACTGTGATTGGCCAGGTAGGAGTGCAGCAACGTAACCACTATGCCATCTTCTGGTCCTGGTGCATTTCTTTCTTCTGTCATTTTAACCTATTGTCATAAAGAGTAAGCTGTGTACCAGCAAGAAGAGTGGTGGTTAAATCTCTGGACTCTCACATGTTCGAATTCCTTTAAAGCTCTGGGCACCACAACTTGAGGACCATGACGTATTCATGTGTGAGTGCCCAAAATTCCAAGAACAGAGTGGGAGAGAAGGGATTTTGGTGTAGATATATCTCCTGGAGGTTGATTGCTCACATTCTCTATTTCTGTCTCTCTCCTTCAAGTACATATGCCCTATGACAAAAACCTGAAAAAAAAAAAAAGGAAGTTGGTACTCAAATGTACTATAGTCTTCTGACAAGTCTGTTTTATCTCTAAAGGATAACTTGGGAACCAGCAGTTAGCGTAATGGCTATGTCGCTGGACTCCCATGTAGTCGACTGCGGTTCACGTCCCAGACCTGGTGACTTAAAACTCACGCCGGGCGCATGTGCGTGCGTGCCCAAGATCCTGAGAGGAGAATGGAGGAGAAGGGATTGTGGCATGACCGTCCCCTCTGGGAGGTGGTTTCTCGCTGTCTCTATGTCTCTCTCTGTCTGTCTGGCGAGCACACGTGCCCTACAGCGAAAACCTCTCAAAAAAAAAAAAAGGATAACTTGACAAATTAAACAAAACCAGGCTTGTTGTACACTAAGAAGTGCTCTCATAATTTTACATTAGATGTGTTGTTTAATCAAGATAGATGACCCTGGACCAGCCAGTGGTGCTCACTGTGGCTGGAGGTGGTTTATGGCATGAAGACCTTGTTGGTGATCTCTGTCTCTCTCTTTCTCTCTCTCTCTCATGAAACAAATAAATTTAAAGAGAGAAAGAAAGCCATCTTATCTCCAGTACTTCACAGTATTTCAAAAGTTGTCCTCTTATAGTTGTAAGATTATTTAAAAATGTAATGACAAATTTAATTTTTCTTAAGGTTTTTGCCATAGGGTGCATGAACTCTCTGGAAAGAGACAACGGAGAGAAACAGAGAGAGGGAAGTGAGAAACCACTTCCCAGGGTAGATAACCGTGCCAAAAATCCCTTGTCCCGTATTCTCCTCTTGGAATTTTAGGCACTCAAGTACATGCACCCAGAATGATTCTCAGTGAACACTGGTGAGACATGTGGGAATCCAGTGCCTTAACTATCACACCACCTGCTGGCCTTCAATTTTTATTTTTAATTCTTGTTTTAAATTATTTTACCAAAGAGATCAATATAACAGTGAGTATATCTTTGTGTTAATTCTAAGTTTTCTACCTTTTTAGTTGTTCTTGAAATTTCTCCATTCAGTCAAAATTTTCTTCAGAAATTTTTTATGTATAGTTTTAACCTTTGGATAAAACTAGCAGGTGAACTTGCATTCAATCAAATACCTTTTCTCCTAACCTATTCTAAGGCAGACAATCCTGAAACATCACTAAGCAACTCTAAGACTCCCCAGAATAGAGCTTGAAAACTACTAAATAATGGATAACACTGAATTTTTAATTAAATATTGATTTTTACTCCTAAAAAATATGTTAGTAAAAAGCAAATTCATATTCAGAAGTTATTAAACCTTTTAGCATTTCCTCCTAGTAAGTGAAGTATCAAATAAAAAATAAGCTTTTATTTCATCTCATGGAACAATAATTATAGTAAGATTCTCATTCAGTTTAGTTTTATTAAAATGTGCCTTTAATAAAGTCTTTTTTTCTTTTAGGTATTATTCATTCATCATGACCGTATATATATGTGAATATAGATAGTCTCATGTGCCAGATAACCTTAATATTCTGAATGTTGTTTAAAATTGTTTTCTCATTGTGAGAAAGGATATTATAATATTTTTGCTGCAAAGAATATATTAAAAACCGATTGAAGTAACATTACTGAACTATATTGAATTTTTAAATTCTTTATTTAACATTATTTTTATTTCATTTCATATTATTTGCATGAAGAGTGATTGTGTTTTTTAAAAATATATTAATGTACATTTTTACCATTTTCTCATATTCCAAATTATTTGTTTTTATACAACATAGATACATGAACTCAGGATTATTGAATCCAGTTCTAAATGTCCTCATTTTCAGCCATGAAAATGAGCCGGACTATTTATTTCTTCTGCTCATTCATTTAAATAAATGATTGTGTTCTTTCAGAGATGAATAAATTAGTAATAATCATTCTAAAGAGTTAAAACCTTTGTAAATATTTAATATGATAAAGTATAATGGTTTATATGTGTATTATGCAATTATTTCCTACAATGAGCCATTTAAGATATTTACATATTGGCATAAAAGTAATGTTTTATCCCAAACATTTCCTGATTAGAGAGGTTTTACTCCTTTTATTTATTTATTTTTTACTGTAGGGTGCATGTACTTACCAGAGAAATGGAGAGAGGGGAAATGAGAAAGCTGCCCCCTCACCTGTGGGGGAGTGACCATGTCACAATCCCTTTTCCTCCATTCTCCCCCGGGCTCTTGAGATCTGAGGCATGTGGGCATACACACACACACACACACACACACACACACACACACACGCAACTCTTAAGTTTCTCAAGTCTTTTGGTCCAGAACTCAAATATTGCAGTAGGCTATGAGGGGTCCAGCACCTTAACTACCACACCATCTACGGCCCCTGATGTTCTTGACTACATAAAATTTAGGATTTCAACAAAGGACATACAAACAGACCTCATTTTCATCCTGTAAAATATTCTGTAAGAGCTCTGAAAGAGCCAAATTAATGACATATAAATATAATTTGAATAATATTGCACTTTTATTGAAGGCTAAAAATCCACAGATTTTCAAGTCAGAGAGAGTTAAAAGAGTGAAATATTTCATAAATACTATTTATAATTTCT